ACTGAGTCAATGCTTTATGGGTTATTATTTTAAGCCTGAAGCTTCTTGGGAGCTGATCTTCTGCCACAAGCACTGAAGGGTTGGTTGCGTTGAAACATAAAAATGCTTAATCTAAATATTTAATTTCAGATTAGATGATTTCTACTAAAAGGCTATGAAACATTTCTGGTGAAGAGACTCAGGGGACATGCTAGTATGGCAATTGTAGCTGGTTTTTGCTATATTTCTGCATCTGAGGTCTTTTTGGATTAAAACACCTACAGTATGGAAAATGTAGTCCATGATGCTAGAACATTTGATTTACTTCAATTATTTTTTTAAAAAAATGTTTTTAATAAAACATATTTTTGATTATCTAGTCAAGCACACACAGTATAATTAGCATCTGCTATGCAAATTATCCTCCAGCAGGATGCCACTCATCTTGTTTTCCCTTTTCCTGCAGCCAGACTGCAACTTGCCTGCATTTCCTTACGGGTTCAGCTAGGATATGCTATGACAATATCCATTTTGGATTATTCTTGTGTGTTCAGAGAGTCACATTAACATAAAAAATGATGGATTAAAGGAAAGAGTGGAGAATGAGTAGCAGACAATATAAGTAATGACAACCATTGTGATGTTGGGAAAGAGATGGATGGTGCATAGTAAGAGTCAATCAATCCTCACGTTGACAATATAGGTAGAGGACCAGATTCCTTCACAGCTGGATTTCAGGGGATAGAAGCACTCAATTTTAATCTCTTTAATATGAGACTACCTATTGCATTTTTTTCCTAGTTTAAAATTATGTTTGGAAACAGATACTTTCCCTACATGTGGTCATATTCTTACCAACATTTAAACATGCACACATACAACTAGTTTATCAAAGATCTACCTATAAGTCTTTTTCTTTCCAGGCTACCACATGAAGAAAGCAATCAGGGATTAGGAACATTTTTGCAGACTGCAAGGTGCATTTGGCTGTTTGCCTTTTCCACACTCTCCCAGCCGTCACTACCACTCTGAAAAAAAACCCATCATCAAACTAGAATGCTCTGCTAGTATTTGGAGAGTACAACTATTTAACCATCCAATTATATTTTGCAAATGTTACTTATTCTATTCCTGCAACCATAGGAGCTAACATTTACTGTAAAGAAAAAAAGAAAGATATTGTGATTGGAGTAAAAACCGAATGTTCAAGTTAGATTTGGGAATTGTGTATGGGCTGCACAAATCGGTTGTAAACACTTTTCTTAATGACTCCAGCAGAAAAGCTACTTATGGACTTGCAAATAGAATATGTTTTTTTAATATTTTTAAAAACATCCTTTAGCAGTGTTTTCTAGTGTGATGATATATTCTAAAATGTTTTAAAATAACACAGAGTCACCCTAAGCTCCTTGACTTTAGACCTAAAGAAAAGGAACAGAGACTGGGGGCTGGAGTCAAGACAGGAATCAGCCTGGAGTTGTTATGTTCCGACAAACGATCCAAGTCCAACCCCCTTGAATTCTGTTAACTCTTATCTAGCATCAATTTAGTGCTGTTAGTTAACTAGATTCTTATTTATGACTTGAACAATAAACCAGTTTGAATGGAATTTAACACCTGATTCTGATTTTTC